GTTCTGAAGGCAAAAGGGGGTCAAACCCGTTACTAGCGTGGTGTACCTAATAAAGTGGCCGGTGAGTGTATATGTAAAAATACGTGAAATTGTAACTGTCCCCATTTCTTTATATCATCTTCATACATTTAACTTTTTTTTGTCTCCGAGCTGGAAATGTCCCCAGATTTAATGTCAGAAATCTGGTCACCCTAATATAAGCAGTTCGTTCCAGCAGTCCACTGACTCCGCTCCAGTGTTTCTATCCAGCAGCGCTTGGATCCAGCATGCAGAGCCCACGTGATCACAACAACACGCTGCGCTAACAAAGTAGCAAGAAGTAGGAGCAATGTCGGCAGTACTTTCTATTTTCATCAAAAATAACGTTAAAGCTAAGTGTAAAATTGTCACGCACAAGTTTTCCGTGGGAGCACAGAACTGTGTACGTTTTAAACCAAATTACCAAATTTCCCTCTGGGATCAATAAAGTGTTTTTGAATTTGATTTTGAATTTGAACCAGAGAGACAACCAGGCTCTGCTCTCCACCCTGGCAGCAACTATGCGGTTCGGCTCGGTTCGTTCAGCCTCGGTCCAGTGACCGCACACARCAGCGCTGTTCCTGAACTGCCTCTCTGGTCCAGTCAGTGRTTCTAAGTGGGCAGAAGTGAGGACAGCACGCTTACGGTTTTGACATCAGCAGAATGTTGCCCGTGGATTAGCTGTGGGATTGATGGACAGAAGAAAGGAGAGCGCAGATTTTGTTTTGGAATATAAGCGCGACATGACGAGAGAGCAGTGATAAAAACTGCTCCCTGCAGGAGAGAGAGGCTAATCTCCACATGATGCTCATATGGACTTTATATCCATCCCCACTCACCATAACCATAACCATGGCACTTGAGGAGTGGCAGCATTGGTTGGAAGGCACTGAGACTCCATTTATAATCTGGACAGATCATAAAACCTTTCAGACCTACAATCAGCTAAAAGACTTAACCCCCGTCAGGCTCGCTGGTCATTTTTTTGGTCGTTTCAACTTCACTATCACTTACCGCCCAGGCTCAAAAAATGTAAAACCTGATGCTCTTTCCTGTCAGTTCTCTGTCACAGATCAACCCGAAGAAGAGAACATCCTTCCCACTTCCCGTTTTGTTGGGTCCCTCACCTGGTCCATCCAAAAGCTCATCCTGGATGCTCAAGTCTCCGAGCCTGACCCTGGTGGAGGTCCTCAGGTTAAGCTGTTCGTACTTTCTACTGTCAAAGCATCTGGACCTCTACAACCCCTACCTGTCCCTGGTAGACCCTGGTCACATATCTCCCTTGACTTCGTCACCAGTTCGCCCCCCTCTCAGRGTAACACTGTTGTGCTCACAGCTGTTGACCGTTTTTCTAAATCTGTCCATTTCATACCACTTTCCAAGCTCCAAACTGCCCTGGAGACTGCCAATCTCCTGGTTCAGCATGTGGTTCGGATCCATGGRATCCCTTCTGACATAATGTCTGATCGTAGGCCCCAGTTTACTGTATCTCTCAGGTCTGGAAGGCTTTCTGCAACGCTCTGGGTGCCACCGTCAGCCTGACGTCGGGATATCATCCTCAATCCAATGGACAAACAGAACCGTGTAACCAGGAGTTGGAGGCTGCTCTGCGATGTGTGGTCTGTAATAACCCATCCTGTTGGTCTAAACATTTAATATGGATTTAGTATGTTCATACCCACTCCTCCACTGCCACTGGTGTTCTCTGTTTGAAGCTTCTCTTGGTTACAATCCTCCCTTATTTTCTCACGTGGAATCTGAAATCTCTGTCCCCTCTGTCCAGCATCACCTCCACAAGTACAGGAGAATTTGGCGACAGGCTAAACAGGCCCTCCTCCGTACTGCAGATGAAAACAAGAAGTTTGCTGATCGTCGCCGAACTTCTGCCCCAGTCTACCAGGTTGGTCAAAGAGTTTGTCTTTCCACTAGGAATATTCAACTGAAGGACACTCCTAGAAAGCTTGTTCCTCATTTTTATTGGACCCTACACCATTGAATAAATCATTAACCCCTCTGCTGTTCGCCTGTCATTGCCTTCCTCCATGCACATTCMTCCCACGTTTCATGTCTCTCAAATCAAGCCTGTATCTGTAAGTCATCTCATYCCTCCTTCCGTCCTYCCCCCTCCCGCCCGGATCATCGATGACCATCCTGCCTTCACTGTCAGGCGGATTTTGGATGTCAGATGACGGGGTAGAGGCTTCCAGTACCTGGTAGACTGGGAGGGCTATGGTTCAGAGGAGCGTTCATGAATCCCTAGATCCTTTATTCTYGACCCCTCCCTCATTTCTGATTTCTACAGGTCCCACCCTGAGAAGCGCCCCAGATCACCTGGAAGCGATCAGTGAGAGGAGGGTACTGTGATGATTGGTGTTTTTTCCTGTGACCTCTGGCTAATTGGCAACAGCTGAAGTGGTTTCCTGATGAGCTCCTGGTTCCTTTAAAAGGCTCACTTCACGTTTGGTCTTCGCTGTGTGGATCCTCGTGTGTGTTTAAAGTATATTTTTGGGTAAATCTGTGTTCACAAACATCACAAGCAAATGGTTTTTCTCCTGTGTGGATCCTCATGTGTGTGTTTAAATGTGTTTTACTGCTAAATCTTTTGCCACAGTCATCACATCTAAATGATTTCAGGTTTGTTGGGATTTTCTTGCATAACCCTCTACTGTCCTCCCCACCAGTCACTGTTTCCATCTGGTCTGCTGAAATGCTGGTTGGCAGATCTCGGTCTTGCACTTTGTRKTGATGAAGGTGTGAGAACGAGAACAGAGGTTTCTCTTCTTCATCATCTTCATTTTTCAAAGGAACTGCTGTTGAAGATAACCTGGTGTGATCAGTCTCCTCCTTCACATTGTGCTGCTCTTCCCTCAGACTGGAACAGACTTCCTCCTCCTTGATGTGGAGGTGCACTGGATTCTGCTGGTCAAAACCAGGCCTCTGTTCTTCAGAAGCATGTTCTGGAATCAACACCCTCTGCTGAACATCTGTAGGAATCACTGAAAACAAAATTAAATTATCACTGTTATCCAGTTCCCCGGCAAAAACATTGTAATATATCATATGCTGTTAAGTGTTAGGAGGACTGTGATCAGTCATACATTGGGGAAACAAAACAGCCACTGTTCAAAAGAATGAGCCAACACAGACGAGCCACTTCGTCGGGTCAAGACTCTGCAGTTTACACTCATCTACAGGCCAGCGGTCACTCTTTCAGGGATGAARATGTTCTCATCCTTGATAGAGAGGAACATTGGTTTGAGAGAGGAGTAAAGGAAGCCATCTTTGTGAAGAAAAACCTTCCACCATTAAACAGAGGTGGAGGCCTTCATGTCCAGTTGTCCTCCTCCTACAATGCTCTTATTGCAAGTATGACTCAGCCCCCTGTGAGCAAAAGGTGTAAATCAGGGCCCCAACAACAGAGTAAGGGGTCTCTGCAGTAGGGTTTGTCCTGTGGGTGTAGAGATGTCCCTGCTCATGATTGGCGGAGGTCTTGATGTGGGCGGAGATGGCCCGAGACGGGATTGGTCAGATTGCCGGTGGGGTTTGAGGAGACTGGAGGCAGCGGGGGGCTTGATTGAGTTGGGCAGGAAGTAACATCCCAGATAGCAATGGACTCAGGGGCGGATCCGCCCTCAAGCCGCCACGTCCGCCAACGTGCGCGTGATAAACGGCCCGCCTCCAGAWAGCCATACTGTCTAAGTGCGGACCCGCTGCTCAGTCTAGGCGGATGTTCACATCGTATGCGCTCATTTCTGAGTTCAGGAGGGAAGTTGCAGTCGCATTCACGCGTTGGCAGTGAGATCGGGACGTTTCTACAGACAGACTACAGCATCTTACATTGTAAGTAAACTGCTAAAACTGTTATTTGCTAGTGCTTGCATATTATAAATACGTAAGTATATACATGTCTGCTGTTTTTACCTTGGTAATAGCAAGCTTTCTCACACAGTGGCGTTTCATGTATTTTTAAGACAATATGACTTCGCTACAACATTCAGTCATTGTAATATTCAGACCTGAGCACATTTCTTGGTTGAATGAGATCTGTTGGTATAGACTGTGTCAGGATTACTTGATGAACTGGTCGAAGTCTTTGTGTAGGCTCTGAGACGTCAAATAAATTTGAAGCTGAGTTTTTGAAAAAAAAAAAAAATTAATAACAATAATTTAGGGAAGAAAGTTCCTCTTTAGAATAGTTACAAATATGCATGCACTGAGCAGCCAATCCCCCATCTTGCAAATGACTATTGCGGTTGCTGTGGAAACGCCATGTTGTCACGTACCAACACTTAAAGCCTGCTTTTCCATTTTTTTTTCAAATTACCTGCCTTTTGTTTAAAATAAAGACACAAACTACCCTCAAAATGATCAACTGTGGTTGATAAAGTGGAAATAAATCAAGGGACCAATAGATAAATGAATAGACTTAAAATGTAC